GAATATTCGTCAACCAAAACGGCTGAGAATATCGTGAAAACTTGTAGTCTCTTCGAGAATATTTCTTACCGGTTCGGTAAATATTAAGTCCTTTACTTTACATTTTCGGCAGGTTCGAAACGCTTAGCAAATTTCTAGAGTTAAAGCGCGAACCTCTAGCATAGAAACCACACAAACACGAAACTTTTTGTGACCTTGCAGTTAAATTGCAAAATAAGACGATTCGGAACTGAAATAATTTAAGGGGGTCTCCATCAGTCGCTTTCTTCAACTTCCGTTTGTTTGTTTTAAGAATGTTCTATGAGTCAGGACTCACCTTAATAATTCATCCTTGAAAAAGAAAATAAATGAGACACACAAGTTCAGTGGAGTAAAGCCGTCTCTTTATGGACACTACAGGGACATATTCAGGTGTCCACATTAGAGAGTTTCACGTATTATGGAGATTGGAATTGCGGTAAGAAATCTGCTGTCTTTGCATGGAAAGAACTGTCCATAAAAAGATATGTCTAAATGAGAATTTATAAATGTATTTCTATCAAAAAATCTAGTAGAAAAATCGCGATTTCCTGACAAAAGGTAAACCAACATGGAATCCTCCTGCCAGCAAACGAGTATTTTGGGGGGGGTAAAGATGCTCAAAATGTGATCAATTTATTCCGTTATCCTTAAGTTAAAACCTACCAATAAATAAAAGTCAGTACTATGGTGGAAAAATACATAGTTATTATGTCTAAAGATGTTTTGCCAATAGTTCGTTTAATATAAACAGGTTTCTGTTATACTCAGCAAATTCGTAAAAGGTAAAGAACCAGAAAACCTGACGTAAAAATTCTTTAAAACGGAAGCCTTTTTAGACCTCGTAATTTAATTGTCAAATAGAAATTTCTGTTCCATCTAGAGATATCAAAGGGATCTCTAGCCATCTTAAACATTTGTATTTTTATTTTATTTTTTAACTGTGCCTTGATATTTGTTTTCATCTACTGAACTTCCGCTGTTCGATCAACAGTCAATTTTAAACAACACGGATCACACACAAGGCGCAGAATGTTTCTCGAAGTATGAATACTATCGAGTACAAACATCTTTTTAAAGAAAAATACACTTTTTAAAAGACTGACTGATCAACTAAAATGGAAATTATTTTATTGTTATGTTATGAGAATCGAATTGGCACGAGGAGGAAATGAATTCTACTTTGCTTCTCTTATACACTTTGAATTACTTTTTTTAAAAGTATCTTAAAGATAAAAGTAATTTATCCATGACTTTTTTGCTTGGTGAAGGTATTTAAACTGACAAAATTGTTGATATCAAGTAACTAACCTTGTACAAAGCCTGATTATAGCATTGCTTGCAGGAGGAACTTTCATGACCAAAATCCAAGTTTAAACACCTGCAGGCAGACCCTAAAATTGAGCTCAAGTGTCTCTGACTATACAATAAAGATTAAATAAGCTCGACGAAAGTTTTTTTTAATGGTGAACGAAATTTAAATACATAATTATCTTCTCTCCATAGGGGCTTGCCAGGGATAATGAAACAAATAATTCAAATGAAAGAAAACAAAGATAAGAACCCAAAGTTGATGGAAAGCGAACCAGTTGTCTATTTTACAAACATGGCCCAATATTTAAACACGGGAATTTTGGAAACAAATCAAGGAAGCGGTAAGGGCAAGACTTAAACTCGGAACCTCCGGATTACAAGTCTAGCGTTCTAACCACTCTGTCACCGTGTCACCTTCAAATTGCCTCCCTCAAATTGCTGAGCAGGTGAGGCTTGAACGTTTAAATTGAAACGAAGGTAAATATTAGTTTTTTCTATATTGCCAATATTATTGCACAAAACTCGCAATGAGTCTTTTAATAAGAGATCGTGAGAATTGCTTAGTCTTTCCTTTTATTTCAAGGAAGTCGGTTGCTAAAAAACGACAGTGAAGTTCTGATGACTGATTCTAATTTGACAGAAACTGATTTGACTGACAGTTTAACTTTAATTCATCGCAAGTTAGATGGCGGTTGCTATTTTAATTCACCCTTTATCAGTAAACTTTTGGATTATTCAAATTTTGCTCAGCTACTTCCCGAACGCTAAGTAAGAAATTACACATTTTTTTTATTTTATTGAGGTATTGCTCTTTCACCCAAGGAAAACCTAAATGCTTTTGTTAGAAGCAAAATACATTTCCTCCTAAATATCGTGGTTTGGTAAGGCAAAGAAAGATCCTCTGGAACAATTTGTGTGTTTTATAATCTTTAAACATTCGCATTGATATGACATAATGTGCGACATTTGCTAGAGCAAAGTGACATCTTTCATTAGTATTCATGATCATCACAAAATGTAGAAGAAAATTAGCTCCTATAGCCCAAGAAGAATAAAGCATTAAGAAATTGCTTCCAAATAAAACGATCTTTTCATGACTCCATGCAGTAAAGTATAATGTGTCGCAATGGTAAGCACCAAAAGAACACGTATCTTCCAATGTAATGATCGCCGTTTAGAGGAACCTTTTTTCTATCCTTTTTGAGACCTTCAGGCCTCAGAGAAAAATAATTTTATAGGACGTGTAAACTTATCGCTCACAATGAAAACGATGTTTCTCCGACATAGCCAAAAATCAATTAATTCAAAATTAAAATTCAAAGGTAGCGAGTGAAAACCATCGACAGGTTTTTGAATCCTACTATCTTCGCAATTTGTACAGTATACTACCTTTCCAAAAAATATATCAAACATTAATAGTATCACACATTGCTATATCTCAATGAAAGTTAAAGAAGATTTTACTTACTGACATATTTTTTTTTCAGAAACGCAAAAACCAAAATAATTATCAAACCATTTTTTATTAAACCTCCCGCAATTTTTTCCCCTACTACTGCGGCTTTCTAATTTTTATGCAGTTGCTTAATAACCCAAACATTCTGCTGACTTTCCGTTAATGGTAATAATAATAATAACTTTATTTCTATAGCGCTCCTATCCTATGTTTAAGGCGCTGGTACAACATATAATTAGCGGGGGGATCCTTTCCAAGACGAATTTGTCAGCGAGGATAAGAATTTTCTACAGAAAATACGAGAAGAAAATTCTGCACAAAGTTTTTGCTTACAACAAATTGTGATATAACTTGTTCCACCCACCCAGTTTTAGCTAATGGAACTGGCACAAAATGACAAAAAAATATATTTTAATACACGTATCGCTTTGGAGACTATGTAAATAGAGCACAACGGAAGCTTTTGAACTTCTTAATTACGCTGTGGCTATATGCCCGGAAGCCGGAAAGGGTTTGAAAAACTGAATGCCTGGCAGTCAGAAAATTTTCTAGAATTTCTGAAAATCCCTTTTTATCCGGATGGTTGGCCTGTGGTTGAGGTGGGGAGCTTGTGCGGGGAACACATGCGCAGAACACGACCTGTGCACAGCCAAACTCACAGGCACAGCTGACGGCAGTGGGCTGAAAGAAGTGAGCGGAATGGCAAAGTAAAGGGTGAGTTTTCTTGGTTTAAATCTGTCTTTTTGGAGGCAAGTAGATTATGGGAACAACAAGATCAATTGCTGAGGAAATCCAGTCAGAGTAACCTATTAAACATGATTCTTGAGAGTATGTAAAGAAATCAACAAACAACTCGTGATCGTACTGTGTCAGTCACTAACCGGTGAATGTTTTTTTTTTAGATACTGAACGTCTAAGACTTAATTTTGCTGAAAATCCTATTTTCTGCATATGTCTTTTCATTTAAACCGACCTTGTTTGAAATGAAATCATTCAGGTTATGTTTTTATATACACTTAAAGCTAGTAAATAATAGTTCTGTTAGATTTTGGAGACGGTTTACCACTTTGATTAATTTTAGCTTAATTTTGTCTGCACAGCGAGATCGGAGATGGCGAGTTACCGCTTGAATTTGCAGTGTTAGGAGGTTTGCGGTGTGATTAGTTTCGTAACGTGGGCCCCTTGTTTGTTCTTTCGAAGAATTTAGAACTCGGTAAGTCAGAATTTATTTAAATGCTAACTTTATCGTTGGCTTAACTTGTATTGCACTGATTTCGCTACTTGTCAAATTCGCTACGTTCAAGTTCGCTCCTACATAAGCTTACTGGGCTCGCTGCTTATTGGTAAAGTCCAAAACTTGCACCTTCAGAGGGGCAAGCGTAAAAGAACACGAAATTCAGTGAAATATTCTTTTATAGTGGGATTAAGGAAATATATTTAATGGTTTGTAGGAAGTAACATCTACCATGGGATGTATCGAACAGGTAGCGAAATGGAACGTAGAGAACTCGACTATTGGCGAAAGCCAATGTTACTAAAGCCCTTTCACAGCTTTATAGACCTTTTCACAGTTTTTTCAACTTTTGACATGGCCAATTTGGGGAAAATCTGTCAATGCTACTGGAAAAAGTGCCTTCATACGAGTAAAATTGCCAAATATAAAAGTGATACCACGTGATACGTCTTAACAAAGGCATGGCGTGACCATTTTGGCAAGTACACGCATGGGTCCATATGGTCTCAAAAACTTCGTACAAAATAAGGTTCCTTTCCTTTAATACATATTTTGGCAGTTTACAGGCTTGTTTACAATAGAATGTGATATTAAATAAAGCTTTTAGGCACCGGTCATTATTTATTTAGATGGGTGGAGGTGGGGGAGGGGTCAAGGCTATTTCAGATTGGCTAGAGGGGGGAGCTAAGCTTTTTTATGAAGAAGTTTAGGTGGTCAGTAGTTGGATCGCAAGGTATATTTTCCAAATTTCCAAATGTTTGTTTGTCTCTTTGTATATATTTGACCATGGTTACTGAACTGTTCACCATGACTTTCTTCAGCTGAGACTTTTTCCTTTCAAACCTCTTCTTCCAAACTTGACAATTCTTTGACTCTTTGCTCACAGTTCAGTATATCTGAAGGACTAGAAAGGGAGGTTAGATATTTGCCAAAGCGATCATTAATGTCATCAGACAACATATATTTCAGATTCCTTTCCACTTTCTCTATCTTGTTCTTTATTTCCCACCTCTTGCCACACTCCATGATTAAATAAGTCTCAAATTCTGATTCACTCATATGACATCTTCCCTCAAACAACCCAGGTGAAAACTGGGCACTGGTCCATGCGATACACTGATTTTGTAATAGAGTAGGGTTAGGTTGACTGTTATGCAAAGTAACTACCGTAAATCAGATTATGAGTAGTATGTTACATACATTTTAATAATTACTTTGGAGAGCATATGAGGAGATATGTGGTGGTGGTGGTGGTGGTGGTGGGGGGTCATCACATAAGTATTAAATAAAGAAGGGGGGTCACTTGCTATTTACATGGTCTATAGGGGGACGTTACAGAAATTTTGATCTTTCCAACATATTTTTCCCTCCCCCCCTGCATAGATAATGACTGGTCCCTTAAAATGTTCTTCTTTGAGCTGGTACTGGAATGTTTACAAGCACAAAGTGAGGCACCTTCCCTTTTGTTATGCAAATTTATAAAATAACTAAAATAGTATGGGCGCTCTGATTGACCGAGAGGAGTGTTTGCATGACAGTATGTAAACATGGTTCGGTTGTGGCGTCAAGACGTATTGGTTTTTGCGCGCTGATCACGCGAGCATGACTTTGAAAAAGTTTTTGAGTTCAAAACTCAACAAGTTTACCTTAGTTACCTATTCCTTCGTCAGCTGAAACTTGGAAAATCTTTACAAACAAGCTGTGTCAATTTTTTTTCGCTTAAGCTGACATTTTAAGCGAGAAAAATCCTTATTTTGGAAAGCATCTTTATGCAAAACAAGAACTGATTGCAAGACTTCGTGTAGAAGACTTTGCGACTGGTAAGAATTCATCTTTTAATCAGGGCACAACAAAGAGCTCATCTGTCATCATAATCACGTAGTGAAGTCTAAAAGCCAAATGAGTGCACCAAATAAACTTCCAAAGTGCTGAATCACTCAGGTGAAATTCAAATAAGATGTTTCGTGCAAATGCTGAACAAAAATTTTGCAAAACATTATTATGTTGGGAATAATAGATTACACATGCAGCTCTATTGTCACTTTAGTTTTTTTTGCTTGTGGCTAAGACAAATGACCACTTAAAGTGTACTTTTAGTAGGGAAAGAGCTTTTAAATTTCATTTAGCTCAACATATGAGGATGGTGGCAAGGAGTGTGGGTTATTGGCACAAGACAGTGCTGAGAAAATGACGCAAAAAACATGTGCTTTCCAGCTATGGATAACCTGCGACTAAGAGGCTTATTTTTAAGTGGGGGGGGGAAAGAACTCCCTAACAAAAGGGAAGAAGGACTGCCTGATCACAGGATGGGCCATGGACTACTTCTTTTTTATGGACGTTCCCTTCGGAGGTATTTGATTGTTTCAATGTTGTGGTTTTACCTCCTGCCAATTGTGGTTTGCTAATCAAGAATACATGTGCTGTCATTGAAATTTACATTAGAGATTAAGAAATGTTTAAGGGTCTTTTTCTTACGTTGGGCACTAAATATGAAAGAACTATTGATGGAAATTATATCTTTGTCAGAACTGAAAGGGATACTTCTTTCAAGCAGGTGATAGTTACTGAAGACCTTCCAGCTAAATGCCATTATTCAAAGAACTCTTAATCATGAAAATCAGTGTGCAGTATCAGTGTGCAAAGAAAGTAGTGTCCAATAGCCTGGGGATAGTTGATTTTGCTATCGGGTTAGTGAATTTTGTTCTCAACTTGCCTGATGGGCAAGTGAAGTTTTTTGAGGAATTCAAATAACAGAAGAACTGTGAAATCAATTTTGCTCATCAATATGTTTTTGGGGTAGTTGAAATGATGTTTGGGCTAGTATATTCTAGCTTCAGCTTACCCGAATGGCAAGCTGTAAAAATGACTTTCTTTGCACCCTGGTGGTATGGACCTTTCAATAGACTTGGTGTTCCACAACTCTCCCTAGCATAAACATAAGTACTGTTTAGTCGGAATAAAAAGTAGTGTGAGAAACAATTTATGTAAATAGAGTTTTGTTAGCCTGAGACTGCATAATTTTTACATGCTTTGGTTTGGTTATCTATTTCTTGTAATTAACCATTTCACAGCATTACACACGTTTTTTGTGTGGAAATTTGCCACTTAGCAAGGTGATTACACGAGAACTACATGCGTGAAATCTGCGTGTAAAAAATACATGAGAAAATGCACACAAGTTTTCGGAAACTGCTTGTAAAATTGTACACATAGACTGCATGCATTTGACAACTTTTTTCGTTGCCTGAAATCTGTGAAGTGATGCACAGTGATCTATCACCGTCGAGCTGTACAAGTATACTTTGAACATTTGTCATATTTTGGGAAAAAATCAGACTGATTGTTTCTCTCACCAGGCAGCTGCAAAATGACTGTCGATTCAGTTTTTGAATGCAACATATACAAAATATATAGCCCATCTAGTTTATCTTTGTTCTTGTAAGGAAAACTGTAGCCTGCAAACATACCTGTTTTCTACATGTTCCTTGCTGTAAGGGTTTTTTGTCAAAAGAGAGATGTCCATACCAGTATGACAGAAATGCTATATGGTTGAAGTAAATCACTGTTTACAGCATTAATCTGAAAGTCATGGGGTTCCAAATGTAAATACGCTTGATTTTATGAATTTTCTAGTCTAGTTTCGTAAAGTTTCAAGCTCTGCAAAAGGGCAGCCAAAAACCTAAAATGTTCCTTATATTACTTGTTTTGTCTTAGATTCTTAGATTGCACAGGGGAAAAATAGTGTTTGCCTACTACATTCTTCCAGTCCGTATTTCTCTAGAAAACTGCATATATGTTTCAGAACACCATCTGGTAAAAAGGTATCTTTGTCTTCATATCCTGTGGCTATTCCATTTGAACCTCTCAACTTCTCTATGAACTTTTGGATCATGACATATGCTAAAAGCAGTCTGCAAACAAACATAACTATTACGTAATGTCAAATAAAAATTACTGATATTCCTTCTCTTGAGAAAACAAGAGGGAACATACTGTATTTTTTTACAATATTTTAATGCCCAGACACATGACATACATGTGTATTTATGAAACTGCTCTCTGTTATAATGAAATTAGCATGTTTAAAATGTTATTTTTAGACTTTTTAGTTAATGGTTCACTTGTTAACAAGGGTGATACTGACTACACACCTTCTTAAATCTTATTAAAATGGTTCATTTGTTTGTGAATGTTTGAAACGTGCGTAGGTTTTCTCTAACAACGACTTTTATTACACCAGGACTACCTGCGGTTCCCAAATCGTAGCAGTGTAACAAGAGAGCACGTAATGACTGCGCTCTCTGCTGTGGAGAGCTTCTAATAGTTCGAGCAACTTATAGCACCACCACAACACAAGCCAGGTTAGATTGAAACTAACTTATTGAACGTTCTTATACCGTTCGTGTAAAGGCTGTAATGAGCTTTGTTATTTACTTATTCATTTATTATAATTGCATACTGTATATTAATGGTATTATTTTTCTTAAAAAAAAAAAAAAAACACCATTACCTTACGGAATCAAATTTGCATTGTGGCATGCAAGGACGGCCGGCATCCAATTTTTGGAAGTGAGGAACAATAAAATTTTCACCATTGGTTGGAGGCTTGTTCAAATTCTAATAAGAGCCACTCATTTTCACCGTGTTCATCAATTTTGGATGGAAGATCTCAATTTTGCACCTTTTTGCTAAAAAGCGTATTATTTCCATTATTTATTAGTTCCGTTATTTGGAGTTGGGGCCGGTTTTTTTATTCGAATTATTATTAAAACGTTCAAGATCTCTTTTTGAATAGGTTGTTCCAAGTAGAAAAACATTTTTCTGGTCTGCCATCTTCCTTAATGGAGTGAAAAAATTGATTCCTTAATTATTATCACCGTGCCACGAGCAAGGGAGATAAAAATTCTAGAGCCCCGGCAAGATTCGAACCCATGGCCACCCAAATCTCTCTATTCAGTGAGCAACGGAGAAACTCTAAGTGCTAAGTTAATATTTTGGTCTCAAGAATCCCCAAATTTCATTTACCGAGCTTTGAATTTGCCATCTGCGCATGCCCCGCCAATATCTAAAGCTATACGTTCCCCTTCCCTGATATATTCTGTAGTCTATATGACGTTAAGCTGGAAACTGCCGTGAAGCAAGGAACAAGATACGGAAAAGCCAAAAACATCGAGGAGTGCGCATGTCCTCCGGAATACACTGGTACATCTTGTCAGGTGTGTCTATCATAATGTAAAAAAAGGTCAATTACACATCGGCTTTCATCCGTTCGCCACACTTATGTATCACCTATCTCTCATTTCATGCCTTATTAACTTCTTTGGTGGAAAGCCCTTTTTTGGTTTGGGCAGTGTTAATAAAGTGCAATGCAATGGATAAGAAGCCCTTTAGCCTACTTTGGCATTTTTATCTATTTATGGATTCATTCATTTTTATTTATTTATTATTATTATTATTTCTTTTTTTCTGGTTAGCTATTTTAGTCTTGACCTTGTACAACTTTCAACGACATTCCTATCTTTATCAAGTGACTGAACCAACAGAAAAAAGGGACATTTTAAATTTATGGAGTCGCAATTTGTGAACAAAGAGAAAGGATTATGCAGGGTCAGACAGTTCCCAACATAAATGGAGGCACTGTTATTTTGATTTTGGTGTTTGTCAACTTTTATAAACAATCTCCTCTACTAACTATCGATAGTGTTTGTTTACCAGTTTCAGACTGCATGTTGTGAATATGATATTTTCTTTTTAAGTGTCTGATTCACAAGGCGAAGAAATGTATCCCTTGAGAACTCAACTATCTCCTGGTAGAACTGGCGAAACTAGAACTCTTCTGTCTGAATACAAGATATTTTTGAAACACTTTTTCCATAGTTGTGTACTCTCTACCCTAACGTCCACAATGACAAAAACCTGTAAAGTAAAAATCACATTGAGTCTACCATGATCTAATCACGAGTGTGTTCATTCTGCAGCAATGTGCGCGAGGATATACGCGCTTGTGCCCGGGTCCAGAGTTCTCTCCTTGCGTACTGTGTTTCTGTAATGGGCATTCTGCAGGGGCACCCGACGACCGTTTTCGGGGAAATATCTGTTCGGAGCCCTCTAGAATGGCTAAAATTTTCGGGAGCCCAAGAACAGCTAAAAATTTCGAAAATGTTTCGTGGTGACTGTTCGTAGGGCTCAGAGTTTCGGGATTTGTGTGGTTTGTTCACCTAAGAATTTCGGATTTTGTAGTAATCTCTAGATCACCTAGAAATTTCGTAGCTTTCGTAGTAATCTCTACATTCTGATTTCGGCACCTAGAAATTTCGTAGCTTTCGTAAACTAAGAATAGAGCTTAAACCCGGCAGTCTCATTGTCTCATTAGCGAAAATTTCACCCAACTGATTTAAAACCCAACGACCCTTTTCTGAGGGTACCAGGTTTACCGGTTACGCGTACCCAGGACAGTATCGCAGCATGACTACCGGAGGGAGGGATCGGTGGGATAAACCAGACAACGCTATTGTAGCACTCTTCTCGGCTGCGCATGTATCACTGATGTATCTGATCTACCGAATTTTAATAAAGTCACATTTCTGACATTTGCAGCTACAGTTAACTGTGTAGAAAATAGGAAACTTTCAGCGTTTCACTGAACTTTAGCCCGCGAAAACAGACGTTTTTTCACTGTTTTTTTTTCTGTGCTCGCTCATCGCCACCTGGGGGGTGTGTGGGGAGGGGGATGGGGACGAGGAGCGAGGGCAAACTACTGCTGGCAACTTTAATTTTTGGTTGTTCGGTGACCCTAATGTGCAGGGTGATGAGTGGGTGATACAGACCCGTTATCTGTTGCATACAGGCTTTCTGGGGCTAGATTGGGGATAATATATTCAGCTGGCAGCTGTGCTGTATATTCTGTATTTTGACCGAGACGAAGTCACGGGTCGGTGCACGGTCCTGCTGATTCCCTGAGCTGATTGTCGACAACCAAAAAATCACTCGGATGTCAAAATCCAGCTCACCGGAGTAATCAGCTTGTTAACAGCAGCTAGCAGTTTAGCGGCAGTCACCCTCGCCACCTATCAGTGACCTATAAGACCTATACCACGCGAGTAACCTAACCTCGAGTAGCCAGTCAAAATACAGCCCCAAATCACAACAATCCGGATCAGAAATCATCCTCACTTTTTAATCGAGTCTGTTATTTTTTGCAATGACGTTATCAGCATTTAGCTAAGAGTTGAATCAGTCGTGTGGAATTTCCATTTATGGGTGGTCATGAGTCTGATGAGTCGTTTACAGAGGTAGGAAACGTAGAGCTCTATGACAGCTGAAAGTAGGAAAAATTTCTGAACGTAAATGTCTCTGATTTCGCAAATGATGCGCCCCAAGTAAAGGAGTCCGGATTCCGGGTAATTTTTGCCTATGGAATCCGGAATACAGCAAACACTGAATCCAATAAATTCCAGCTACCTGAATCCCCAGACTAGAATCTAGAGTGGAATTTCTTGGAAACAATGGTCATGGAAAGGTGGTCACGTGATACTACAGCTTGCTTGGCTTTTGCTTGACTCAGTCCAATGATTCAAAACAGTATCATAATTGCCTACGACTTCTGTTATTGGCGCCGTTTTACTTGAGATGTATGGTCGCAGAAAGCAATACTTTCAGTGTGTCAAGAACAGAGTTTTGAGGTAAGCGAAATAATTCAGCTGACAAACTTTCTGATCTCTTGTAGTCACTCATCACTGTTTTACAATTTCACTGTTGGATCGACCAATTTAGTGATCGTTTCTATGTAATGTTTCTCGCTGAGTAAGATATATAAGAGTAGTCCAACGAAAAAGTATTTTTGTTCTTTTGTTGTTGTTGTTTTATTACTTCTGGGATACTGAAATCGATATAAAACTCAACTGCTTGGGTTTCAATTTCATTTTATCTACACTGAGCTAAATTTGTCAGTAATGGAGGTTTGTAACCGTTCCGGGCGGAAAAGGGAAGTTGTTCACTGTTGTATCGGCGCAGTTAAGTAACCTATATATTTTCGCTGTTATTTGCATGAGAGAAAGATTTCCATACTTCCTTAGAGTAAAACATCTCACAGACCCCAGTCACTTGCACGATTATAAGCGGCTTGTGTGGAAGCCAACAAGTAGTCTACGAGATAATGCATATGAGGCTGTGTGGCAATCTTTCTTTAAATTTAAATTGATAACTCAGACCAAAGTAAAACATCCTGAACATCGTTTACATCTTTTATTGATTTCAAATTAAATTAAACAGAATTTGGAGAAAGGCTTATTTACCATACCACCATTTTTCTTTTTTACACAATATTGCATTAGTTTCAGATTAGGCCTTGTTCAGTATATGTAATTATCCTTTACAACCAAGTCTTCAGTTTGTTACGAACAAGTACAATCCTACTTCAAGTTCCCCTGATGAATGGCATTACATCCTTGAAGTAGTTAAACAGACATGATATGATCTTACATGTAAAAAAATATGCTTTTGAAGGTCAAACAATTAAATGTCTTGTTCTAAGTTGAGTTAAATAAATATCAGTTATTGAATTTCTGTACAAATGTCTTGTAGGCAAGAGTTATCGAGCATTTCCGTGAATATCAATCTGATCTTTTGTCTATAGAAAATCTGCAAATTATCTATTAGAAAAAACTAACACATACAATCAAATGTCTATGTTGCAGAACTTTTAGAAAAGCATATTTACCATTCCACCATTTTTTTTTTGACACAATATTGCATTAGTTTCATTCCTTTACGACCAAGTTGTCGGTTTGTTACGAACAAGACATTTTAGTACAATCCTACTTCAAGTTCCCCTGATGAATAGTATTACATCCTTGAAGTAGTTAAACAAACAAGATATGACCTTACATGTAAAAAAATATGCTTTTGAAGGTAAAACAATTAAATGTCTTGTTCAAAATCGCATTAAATAAATATCAGTTACTGAATTTCTGTACAAATGTCTTGTAGGCAAGAGTTATCGAGCATTTCTGTGAATATCAATCTGATCTTTTGTCTATAGAAAATCTGCAAATTATCTATTAGAAAAAACTAACACATACAATTAAATGTCTATGTGGCCATTCTTAAAATTTTGTAAACTTGTCGAAAAATTCATTTCCTCTGTGCCTTGTGGAGCCAAATATTGATGCAAAAAAGTTGTTGTTAACAAGGTGATGGTGCAAATGGGCATTCCATCTACAAAATCCAAGACTAAATGCAAATTGACAGAATTGAGCATGACAGGAAAAAAAACTCAAATGAGGTGACTATCTGACCCATATTAACATGTATTGGCAAGGATTTGGTCTCGGGACCACCAGAGAACAAATCCAGGCCCTGTTCAGAATGGGTCTGGGCTGCCAAATATTGTCAATTTGCCAACAATTCCATCAATTTAGTCATCAACCATATTTGGGCAATTTCCCTTTCTTTTTTTGGTCCCACAAGGAATAGAGACTTTTGAAAAAAAGTTATTAATACTTAATAATACCTAGTGACAAAAAAAGAAAGTTAAATGAAAGTTTTCTACATAAGTTTTCCTGGTGCAAATCAGAAAAAAAACCTGTTGAGATGCATATAATATGAGTACAAAGTTATAGGACAAGTCACAAATTATTTTGAGAAAACCCGCAACTCCAAAGGAAATAGTTACATTCACCTTTTGAATTATGAGAGTAGACATGCAGTTTCAGTACACAACAGGAATCAAACCTGGACAATCACTTTCAATCTAAGGTTTACGAGCTTGTCTCTTAAATTCGTGGAGCACCTTGTGACTAGTTCTAGCAATCATCCGTGCAAGTTTAAGAAGAAATTTAACTTTAAGCTTCATTTTCAGCCTTAAAACTTGTTGTGCAGTTCACAAGTTAAACCAACAATTTATTTTATTATTTCATCCAGGCTTTTGTCGTGGCTAATGGCTTGATATTCACATGGGGTTGTTTCTGTTGACCTTTCTCTCTTGAACTCGTCACTGCTTGCACTACAAACAATGTAAGTTTGCTGCCACTCCCTCTCTGTGTTGTCTTACCATCTTTAGTGTTCACAAGCTTCAAGACATCGAGGCTGACAAGGTCATTGTTAACCTTCTACAAGACATAACTGTAACACTTGAGACAAAAATCACCATTATTATTCATTGATTCTAAATTCTTGAGCTGCATATGGCATTTACAAACTTGATGCTCATAGTGCATTTATGGGGAAGTTGTAACTTTAGGATTTCTTTCCTTTGACTGTTGGTGTGAAAGCTGTTGAAGTAAAAACTGTATGTCTGTACGCAATTGCCTTACCTCATCATGAGTAAACTCTGGAGTCCATCTGGGCCAATTATCAATTGGAAGGTCATTTAAAAACTCTGAGAAGAATTTCATGACATACGCACCACAGTCAGTGTCATTTGGCTGCTGGGGGACATCAGGGTAGATCACTTCCCCAAAGGAAACACTTTTTTTTTTAGCGTGGCTTTGGCAGCCCATTCATCTCGCAGATAGTTTTTAACTAAACGCTCAACTGATGGACGATGTATTTTGTTTGACCTAAGAGAAGGCCTATTTGCTGCGTCTAGAATCATGATGGAGACGCCATCACCACGGTTCATTTTGACAATTACTAACATCCAATGTGTACCTGTACATACTGGAATTATAACATACTCCTTTAAAAAAATATTTACACCCTTTGTCCAATTTCGTATCCTGTTTGGATTGAAACTGGCAAGTTTTTTGTGAAAACATGAGCTGAATATGTACAGTGTGTCTGTTGAAATATAAGGAGCAGCACTAATTTCTTCAGCCTTGTAAAAAAATACAAAGTCAACTATGTTGTCATCAATTAAGAATCCTTGTTCTAAATTTTGAAGGTTATCACTGTCCACCTGCACATTCCCATACTTTGATCGGTACATTGTGAGGATGGCAGAAGGAACAAAGTTGATGCATGTCTCATCTTTAGTTGTACAACTTTTGCGCTGTATTTTGATTAACACCAAGGCCTCATATGATAAGTCGGTTCCATTATTTGCCTCTATGAAATCATTAATGTGCTTGGCAAGCGCTGCAGAATTTGAAAATTTTAATAAGACGGTTTTACCATTTCCATCAATCATCCCATTTTGATCCCTTGCATGTGAATCAAACATGAACCACTCACCATAACTGTTTATGCATGACACACAGTAGTCCTGGATTCGAAGAACAAGGCCAGGGTAGTTTTCTTGGACGCTTTTTTCCAGGACCCTTTCTAAGGTCCAAACACCTTCTTCACTCTCTGTTTCTTCTTCTTCCTCGTGCCTGGTGTTGCCACCAAAAACATCTCTCTCTACTTGAAATTCGTAATTGAAAGCTATTAATTTGATTGGTAACTCGTCAACATGCAACTTTTGGGTTGATTCAGTACTGTACCCCAGGCAACAGACACGGAAAAAGTGGAGTCTGTCCCCAACCATCATCATTTTATCCAAATCTCATTTCTTCCAAGAAGCAACTGGAAGAATGGTGCTATAGAGAAGGGATATGAAAGCAATTCCAGCACACTGTTGACCTGGATAGTGGTAGAGAGGTTGATCACTGTCACCCTGATGGGTAGATGCAAAGGTGACCAGTTTTTTTGAATCTTCTTCATCTTCTGAAGACAGGTAATCATCTCTGATACCTGTCATCTGGTTAACTGTTTGGCGAAAATGTCTTCCATCTCTCGATTGCTTTCCTTTTTTAGGCTTCTTACCTATATGTAAGGAGAACGTACCAGAACATGACATGAGCCACTTCAGTGTTTTTAAATCCTTTATTATGCTATTTTGTAGCCCATATGAATCTACACGCACCTTAAAGAAATCATCCATGACAATAGCCATGTAATATCTAGGCCTCAGGCAATCGGGGTATTGTCGGGTTACGATTCTTTTATGGAAAAGAACTCTGTAGTTCCAGGTCTTTTGTCATAAAACAATTCTTACATGTAGTACCTTTTTGCAGAGCATGAGACATCTTTTTTTCTTTTGGACCCTCTCTCCTTGTCTCCCTTGCCATCTGTAATACAGAAATATATTCATTGCATTGAAAATTAATTAGAGGGGTTAACAAAGTTAACTAACTCTACTTGAAATATTAGTCATTACTTTTACATTTTCATTTCCATAAATCTTCTGTCATTTTGTCAGTGATTTGTGTAGGAAAACGAGCAAAAATGAGCAAAGAGAACTTTCTCACAACTGTTAAGTAAAGGAATGTGTCCAGACAGAATGAGAATTGTGTAAAATTTACAGAAAATTATATACTGTAGGTATTTTAGTGCGGGCTTTTTGATTAGCTGTCCCTTTATTCATAACATGATTTGTTGGATTGGATTATACCTTTAGCTGAGTCTTCTTTCAAGAGCTTTATTTTCTTCCTTCCTGTATATTCCTCTGAAAGAATAACAGAAATTAGGTATCAGAGGCTTTATTTCAATCTAATTGCTACCATGATCTCCCAGATCAGATTACTATTACAATGTCTAGCACATTAGCTTTAGATTACAGGGGATTCCATCAGTGTCCATGTCTGCTGTTGCCTCTGTGTGATCTTAAACAAATTAGATAAGATATTATACTGGCTACATAGAGAGGTAGGTTATCTGCTCCAATTCCTATTATAGCGATTATAAAAGAATACAGTTGTATAAAATGATTATTTGTATTACCTGTCTTTAATTCATGGACATATTTCCTTTTAAGGTTAGTCTCTGTAGGAGTCTTTCTTGGATTATTTCCTTGGGTTTCAGGAGCTGATGATCCCTCTTTCATCCTATGCTTTCTCAGACGACCCCTTTTTGAAACGGTGTGGAAAGTGACAGGCTCTTTAAAAGCAGAGCTTGGCAGCCACATGTCATCATCAGAGGTGTATCCTTTAAACCTAACTTTGTATTCTTCTGAGTGGAACTGCTTGTTGAGTCTTACTTCTAAAACCTTTTCCACCTCATAGTAGTCATCATCAGTATTTGTATCTGCAGTGCTAGCAATTTTCAGGTTGTCTTTTTCCTTCAGTTGCAGTTTGGCAATGCTGTCCTCAGATAATGAAGATGTGCCATCCTCATTCTTCACCATTTCAATTTCACAAAGCACTTTATTGAGAGGGATCCACTTGGACAATAAAATCTTGTAAGGAACATCATATTTACCTTGACTTACTTCAGTGTATGGTCGACCTCTCACTGACCCTTTATTTTTCGAATTTGCACTTATCTGTTCTTTCACCTCCTCTGATTGTATAGAGAGAATGTGCAAGAACTCCACCTGGTCTTTGACCCTTACAGCCACGTCCCGGAACCTGATCACATCATGACTTTTATCTATCTTACTCCAAGCTTGAATAAGGGATTTTCCTACCCAGTGTCTTCTGGATCGTTCTTTTGAGATGTACTCCCTAGGTAACAGAACTTTAAGAGCTTTGGAGATGTGCACATTATTTCCATCCTTTTTAATATACCATCTCATGTTGGGTGGGACACTTTTACCTGTATCACTGTTGTGATCATCGTGGTCACTATCGCTATCTTCAACATCGCTGACAGAAGTGTGTGATGAAGGATCGCTATCCTTGCTGTCTGTTGTTGACCCTTTTGGTTGTTCTTCTTCTTCCACTTGCACGTCGTCGATGTCAGTTGCATTTTCTTCCTCGGTGTTGCTAATGACAGCTGCTGAATCAGCACTTGAGGATAATGATACATGTAATTTATTGTATTCTTTAGGTGGAGGGCCTACACTTACCATCTTTATACCTGTTGGCTTCTTAAAAGAATAAGGTAAATCCCATACCCCATGTGACTCTAAAAGAGTTGAAAAATCCTCAGGAAGAAACTTATTTATAAGTTCCTGTGCTCTTTTAACCCCCCTCTTATGCATATCCTGCTGCTTTTTAAGGAATTCCTGGTAACTGTCAGGGTACTGGTAGTTTGTAGGTTGTGGGTTGCTAGTTGAACGGAAATGTGATGTTTTCCTATTGCTAGTTGATGGTATTCTGACTCCTTCATAGGAGGACAAGTCATTTATAGCTTCTGTTATAAATTGCAGATCCTTTGAACGATTTAACATATCGCCAAATGTTGGTGATGTGTCCAAAGTTTGGATATTAGTAGTTTTCCCTTGTAACTGGCCAATGATTTTTTCCGTTGAAATTGTACCAGAACGGTTAGGGGAGCATAGTGATGGGCCAAGGTCTTTGAAGTGCAAAAACATTGCAAGGCAATGTAAAGAAGCAGCAGAGAAGATTAGTTCAGCAGTCGTGTAAGCACCATAAGTAAGAAAATGTCCTCTTTTTTCCTTTATTTTGGACGCATTTGGAAGAGCATGTAGGCGCATCTTCTTCAACTCAAGGTATCTGCGCCATAAACGGAAAATGGTGATTCCTGTAGACACAGACATTTGGATCTGTTCTGGTGTACCAAATTCTACATTATAAAATGGTTCGGTGAGATGGTAGGCTGCGATGATGTAAAGGCATGTAGCCTGTGATCCTCTGACATGACTTTCCAGCATTTCAGCAACTTTGAGGGAAAATATTCTGTTGGCAGTATCTGGTCTTTGATCAAAAAAGTTGATCAGCACTAGATCTTGAGCCAGGAACGGTATTGCTTCTCCTTGTTGTAGACATATTTCCATAAGTTCATGTAGGTGATTGATGGTGGCCACCATAGTGCCATTGCCATCCTTATACATTGTCAGGTCACGTGTGTCATATTTCAGATTTCGTAAAAGTGTTCTTCTCAGGTGGTCAAAGTCTGAGTATGCAATACTGGGGAGAGACCAAAAGTAAGGAGCCACAAACCTCTCATCAGGAATACAGAGGCCCAAGTACATAATTCCTTCTTTTACAGTAGCTTCTGTTGGTGTCATAAGAGTGACCAATGCCGAAAGGGAAAATCCTGCTGAGTCTGTTGAATGCCCCACTAGCTTCAAGGGTTTTTCTCTGGTGGCGCAATCTTCCCGTACTTTCTCCCAAATCTTAAGTAGGTGACGACCATCATAGCCCTTATTTGGAGTAGGCCACATCATATAAATAAGGGGGTGACGTGTTGAGCAACCAAGGGAGCTGAAGTTATGAATGGACACCTTTGATGCTAGGCCATCGTCATCTATCACCTTCGATACCAGTCTGCTCAATGCTGAAAAATCGTCCTTGTCCCCTTAAAAGAACAATCAAGTTTTAATAAAACAAAGTTGTATGAATTATGTATGGAAGCTGTTAAACATAAGAAATAATATGCTGGACATGATTCCTGGTCATTGCTCAGATCACCCTAACCAGTTATAAATTACCAATATTACTTTATGTCGTTTAGTTTAAACATTTCAGAAACTTGAAGGGGGGGGGATAATTTAATTTTAAATTTGGGGATGATCCGCGACTTTTAACCCACCCCCTCCTTATTCCTCTCATCCTCGTGGGCTCTGAGTCAATAGCCCATTCGGCCATGATTTTTAATTAGCCAATTAATGCAAAACCTCCATGTCATATTGGGGAAAATAAACGTTAGTAATAGCAGTATGATTTCAACACACCTTCTGATTCATTTTTTTTTTGGTATATGAACTTTTTCCTCTTCCCACTTTTCAATGTCTGGGCTGAAGCTTTTTCCCACCAGAACAATTTCATCTTGTTCAGTTTTCATTGCCTGTAGATACCTGATTTTGAAAAAAAAGACAGTTTTTAATAATTTCAATGATTGTCACCATTGATATTTGTAGGTTTATTATTGCAAAATTACAGTCAGACAGACCGACAAGACAAACTGACATCTAACTTTGCTATCAAATGACTTCTTCACATTCTGAAGTGTTCTTTTCTTATCTTGTTTATCAGAAAGTTAAGCAGCGAAATGTAATGTTGTACTTAACAGGAGTCACTTTTTGTTATTTTCTTAGTTGTTTTCCTCCTTTATCAATACAATGTAAGAACAAACCTTAATGCTCTGGCCTCGTCACTGGCATCAATAACTGGTCCATCCTTGTACAGCTCAACTGCTTCATCAATTACCTCAGGATTGTACCCTGCCTGTAATTTCCGGTGAGTTTTGAAGTCATCACATGATGTGCTTGATGGGCGACCAAACAAGTCCTAAAAAACATAAAAGGTGTGACATCTTATGTTATATTTCTTACCTTCTTCATAACAGGTCATAAATATTCACTGTAAATGTGCTAGGTACTAAGATTAACTCGCCATGTTTGAGGCATACCTTCATAAGATCATAGTTGGTTTCCCCAAGGCGGATTTTGTGCATCTTTCCAATGGTTTTCATCAATGGAACAAAGTGGTGGTTTACACCTCTTCTTAGTTTTCCAACAAGATTTCTTATAATTGTCACTTGAACAGGATTTGTCTGGTCTATGTCCTCTTTAAAAAGGTGCAGCAAATCTACAATTAGTTTCTCTTGGTATTTTTCTTCACAACTTTCCTGGAGCATTTCTTCCCAAGTTTTTGACTTCTTTGCTGACAAACTGGTCACTGTTTTTCCCAGTTTACGGTTTGAATCCTGCAGCTCTACACCTTTTTCCTTTATTTCATTTTTGAGTGCGTAGTCATGACGGAAACCCTTTTTTCCTATCCTGTTCTCACTTGCATCATACACTGATTGATCTCGCTTTTTACTTAAATCCACCAGATACCGTTGTTGTGAAAAACAATTTTTGCAAGTTAAGGGGTGACGGGGAAGCCCAGAAGGTTTTCCAGTGCATGGTGGATCTATGCTTTTTATTGCTCCCTTAACAAACAATTTCTGGCCTTTGTAGGTAACTTCTCTGTTTAATAACACATATATTGCCCTGGCAGGGCGCGACTTCGCAAGCTCCTCTGCTTCCCCAGGGTGCTTATCCTTCCAACCCTTGAAAGTGGAACATGTCGTATGCCCTTTTTCTTTTAGAAAACATCTAAATTTGCCTTTAGCCCTCTCTCGCTCAAATAATGTCTTTGTTGACACTTTTCTAATTGAACAGTCATCTTTAAAAGACTCAACAATATCAGGGTTTTCAAAAAAGTGGAGGCACCCTGAGCTTTGACTATCTGGCTTGGTGATTTTTAGAGCTTCAGTTATTGTTCTCTGTCGAGGCAATGGCTTAGCATCTCCTACTACACCTCTATTGCTACTTACATCCTCATCCAGCTCTTTTGAGCCTGAGAGGTACATGGCAGCAGACTGATGGACTCTGGATTGGTGGTGAGCCACCACCTGTGATATTCCATCAAACTCCTTTTGCGTAGATTTTCCTAACTTGATAAATTGTCCTCTTCGCAGACAGCTCTCTTCATAGATTTTGCAAATTTCACAACGGATTGACACCCTGATCTTATTTCGTAACCTTGACAGACATATGCATGTATACTGTGGGAATCGGTCAGACTCGTATGTTAAGTCCCTGAATTCTTTAGCCACTTTTGTAGAAATTTCAAGCGGGGGGAAGGCATAACAAAGGAATGCTCGAAAAGTATTGTCAATGTTGTTGCTACACTGAGATGATTCCTGATAAATTCGAATTCTTTCACTGTTATTCATGCGCATTGATGGACAAGGGATTTTTTCTGCCAACAGTTGTTCAAAGCTTGAGCAGTTGAGATCTTTTGGCTTTATTTCTTTTATCTTAGTGTTACTCCAGCTTTTTGAAAGAAAGGATTTTCGCTCAAAAACTAGTGGTTTTGTACTTATGCCTGTATCATCCCAGTCTGGCATTTCCCACAGATCTGGCAATCCATCCTGGTCAAGGGGAACAAAGGTTGCCGTCTCACCTTTTTGTAGTGGTTCTTCCAAACCTGTGTGGAACAAATCTTCATTTCCTGGTTTTCTTTCCAGGCCTGTAGTGTCCACATCACCTTCATCCAGGCCTGTTGTCTCCACACTATTACTTGTTGCTGTTGTTTCCAGGCCTGTCATGTCCACATCTTTTTTCCAAGGTGTTTTTTCCAGGCCTGTGGTGTCCACATCATCTGTTGTCCCTTCAGCAGCTGAGGTGTTCACATCACCTTGTGGTCCTTCAGTGCCTGTGGTGGCCACATCGTCTAATGTCCCTTCAATGGCTGAGGTATCCCCGTCACCTTGTGGTCCTTCAGTTCCTGTGGTGTCCATATCGTCTATTGTCCCTTCCATGGCTGGGGTGTCCACATCACCTTGTGGTCGTTCAGTGCCTGTGGTGTCCACGTAATGTGATGTCCCTTCAACCGCTGGGGTGTCCACATCACCTTGTGGTCCTTCAGTGCATGTGGTGTCCACATCATCTGGTATCCCTTCAATGTTCACTTCATCTGATATTCCTGCCTTGCCTGTGATTTTCACATCACCTGGTGGTCCTTCCGAGCTTGTGGTGTCCACATCACCTGGTGGTCCTTCAGGGCCTGTGATATCCACATCACATGGTGGTCCTTCCAGGCCAGCAGTGTCCTTATCTTCATGTGGTCCTTCCAAGCATCCGGTGTCCACATCGCCTGATTCACCTTCATTATCACCTTTTTTTTGTGTTTGTGCCAGGCCTGTAGAGTCAATTTTTACATTTTCTGGTGTTCCCTCAAGACCAGTGGTATTTACACGCTCTCCTGGGACCACCGTAGTTATTTTAGGTCTCAGGTGGTGAATGGTTTTTCTTCCCTTTTTCATTCTTATACCCCTGAAGTCCTTATGCACGTCGAATATGTTTCTGCCTAGAATTTCAAAAATGAAACGATGCAAGGCCTCCTTGCTGGCATAACCTTTGAAATGTTCGCAGGCACTATTGAATATGGCCTCTTTGGTGACAGTGTTACCTATTGACTTCTGGTAGGAACTTATAAACCATTCCTCTATTTCTTTAGCTGGTGGTAGCGAACATTTTCCTGTTGATTTCTAACAGTGTATTATTTGTTAAATATAAATTTATTAATCAACAATGGATCTATTAAACAAGGTCTGAAATAAATTTGTTTAAGGGATATCAATGAAGTTTAATTGATCTTTGGTCAATTTAAGACAACAAAGGTTTTTATTTTGAAGCCTATGTTTTCAATTTTTACTTGAATTTGAGGTTCAAGACAAATGACAACATTCAAGTTTTGATTTAAATTCCATCAGAAACATCTACTTCTGATTCAATGTCACAGGGATAAAATTAATAGGTGTAAAGTGTAAGATCTGAGAAAAATTATTAGCACTTGATTTACACTGGTTTGGTAGAGTGCTTCCCTTAATATAGAAATGAAGGAAATTAACATAGATAAATTTCAAATGACACCAGTGACCCCTCGACAGTGCCTAGAGTTTATTTGATGAACACTTTTTATCTGTAAACTGAAATAATAGAAATGGAGATACTAGTTCGCACTGCTTACAGTGTAGCCAACGTTAACTTAAAATAAGCACATTGGGATCTTATATTATCGCTGAAAATGTATCAATAATCAATTTATAAAAGAATCAGACCTCCTCCTTTGATTGGACCAGCTACAAGAGAGAGTGACACAACATCTTGCTTAAACTCTTTCAGAATCTGTTTATCAAGTAGCTGTTAAAAAGAAAAACAAACAAACAAACATGTCATCTACCTTCAAAAACCTTATGTAAAATAATAATGCTTTGGCTAATGTAATAAAAAATGGCTGGGAACCTTTCTATAGCCATCAAATATGCATATTGAAAAAGCATTCCAGCCCAAACACAGTAGTTTTCTTTCATCTGAGGGTTCAGGTATAATCTAAGCTAGTTGACTTTTGATCCCCTATTCAACTGAATCATAACTGTATGTGATATATGATGACATCCTAATGTTATTGTTTCAAAATTGTTGCCTCAAAATGCCCCCTTCATACTAACCTGTGTGCCTCTAAAGAATAGTTTTTGGTTTCGTGGTAAAATCTGAGTTAAACTCTGGATTTTCAGCTTCAAATCAATCACATTTGTTGTATGGGGCATTGTCAGCTCCAGACGTTCTCGTCTGTGGTACACCAGAATTAACATTCTAAAATGAGTTCAAAAAAAATGTTGTTGGCATTGTATTGTTAATGATTTTGAAATGAAATACAGTTATTTGATATTGTAATTTATAATCATATTAGAATGTGAACAATTAAGTTTGTCAAGGCTTAAGAATATTCCATGCATATTGCAAAATTAAATTACGTACAGTTGACTCCCAATAACTTGAATCCTCACTAACATCTCAGTGTTTGTAGGTTGCTAAGGTTGGAATTTCAAGGTGGTGTCACTCAAAAATACATATCAATTTTATCTCACCGTTTCTTGACAGATCAAAGACATTCAAGCAGATAACAATATTATCATGATATCAGCTGGCATCACTGCAGAAATTTGAGAGTATAAATGTGCAAGAAATGCCTCAAATTTTTGTTCTGTGAAGTCAAAATGAGCCGCAGTGTAGGATTGGAATTGCTGACTTTGCAGACTTTGTAAAATTATGTATCACGTGGTCTCAAATTCTGTGTTTCTCACTTTCAAGATAATTGGTTTATAAACCTGTGATAAATAGGCACCTGTCTCTCAAGTTGAGAACTGGAAATAAGTCATCTTCTTGAACATCAGTTCTGCAAAAGCCCATATTTTTGGAGAGTTCCGTGGCATGTGGCCTCTCAAGCTTCTTCTTAGCAGACTTTTTAGCCTATTGAGATTAAAATTTCAATAAAAATATATTCCTGCTGTGAGATGTGTTCAACCTTAAATAATAATAAAATAATCGTTTTAATGATAACCCTGTCTCAACTGGACAGCTGACTGGAACTCAATATATAAGTTGACCAAGTCAGCCCCAATTAAGTAGATGTCCTAAGTCCACAAAAATTAGATCAAGGTATCAGCAAAACCTTGATTGAAAATTCACTTCAACAAATGATATGGATAGATGATTTCATTTAGGCTGGCTTACATGTTACATGTAGGCATTTGGCAATTTCTTCCCAAACTGTTGTAAGCCTATCTTTAAATAGACAACCCTTACCAAAACCACATATATGTTACATATAGCGCCTACATATATATGTGACATATATGTGACATATATGTGAAATATATAACACATATATGTGACATATATGTGTCATATATAACACATGTATGTTACATATATGTCAAATGTAGGTATTTGGAACCCATTTGCAGTTACTTACATATATGTCACACATATGTAGATATATGTGACATATATGTAGTTAATAGCATTGCATATACAGGGCAAATATATGTCACATATATGTGGCATATATTTGAAAAAAATTGATTAGGTACATACCAGCTGCGCCTGCTGTACTTTGAAGTTAATTGTTATAGATATACATGTAGTACTTATATATATCTGCTGATATCTTACATCTTCAATAAATATATTACACCTTTTTTTTTCATTGAAATAATTGTATTCTGGTCATAAATTCTTCATATACACTAGCTGTCTTAAAACTGAAAACTTATATAATTCTTACAGACTAGTTACCATTATCACATGACAGACCATTTCAGACAGTCCAACTTCAGTGTGATGCACATCAATCAAAGGAAGCTGTTGACACTGTTTTTCAAATTCAGATTGCATTTCGAACAATTTGGCCAAAAAGAAGCAGTAAAAATTAACAAATAAGCAGATTGAAGATTTCAATCAACATGATAAAAAATTGTCATTGTATTACAACTTATTTAGACTGCCATTCACATGTTTGTTACCAATTCCAACAACAATCTGATTATCGATAATAAGAGGATTCAACACACACGCATGTACATGCATACATATATATAAGAAAATAATATGTGTTCTTGTATCTTCTAAAAAAATCATTTTGTCTTTGATATCCCCCTCCTGCTTGCAGTGCACTTGTCTTGGATTGTTTTTCTCACTTTGGAGATGACATTCCCATCCTTGAACTGGGATTGAACAAATGCTGTAGATTGAGAAGGATTTAAAGCAATCACACAACTGCCAAAGCTTAATATTAAATGCTATATATAGTAGATGTGTTACACATGTTTATAACCTGCATGAACACATGATTAGGACCCCCCTTGTTTTCACCAGAACCGAAATTAAACTAACCAAAGAAAGCATGTCTTGTATAATTAGGATTATATGTAATACTCTCATTGATTCAGTAAAATCAAAACAATAACTGATGCCATGAAAATTAAAGCTCATAATGTCATAGCGGTACAGGAGTTTACATCAAAGAGTAGCATATCATTTCCATAATGAACTGAGAGGGGTTGTTTTACTTTAGGGAAGGAGGGAGGAGAATCAATTCATTTCTTCTTCAACAAATACAGTTTGCTACTATATAAAAGAGCTTAATTAATAGATGATTTATACACTGAATGCAAATATGGCCGTCAGGCCTTTTTTTTGTTTAGCCAAGTTTTCATAGAAATTATAATGATTTCACGTGAACAAGTGCCTCTAAGTATATCATCTTAAAAATTTGAGCTGCAAAGTTATGGCTGACTGAAATTATAAACATTTGTGTGGGAAAAGATAGTCTATATCCTCACTAGCCTCGCTTTCATGTTTTTTTCCCAAAATGTGAGTGCCAATACCTTCTTCTTAAATAAGAACATGGCCCTGAAAATACGCACAATGACTTATTTTGACCTGATCTTTATCATTATCCAATTGCTTTTCTTTTCTTGAAAACCTGCCCAGACCAAAAATTCTTGGATGGCCATATTTGCATTTGGTGTATGGTATACATGCAGTCAACTCTCTCAAAGCAGACACCAAATGTAAGGCAAACATATCTCTAAGACAGACGTGGTTGGCTAGTAAGGTGGACAGCTAGAGCTAGTCCAATGGGTGTCCACCTTAAAGAGATTTCATTGTGCAATAATAAAAGCTGGTTTTTTTCCCATGAATCAAGCATAATACATGCACGAAAAACAAGTAGGACAAGTAATGCAATCAAAGAGCATACATGTACCTGTGATGGCTTTAATGATTTGAGGGCACAGCTGTCTGTAGCCCAAGTTGCCCCCTCCTGCCAAGTTTGAAATCATTAAAGTTTTTTTTTTGTCAAACATGACGTCAATCAAGTATGCTGTCATAGTGCCCACTGATTTTCCTTCTGCCAATGCATTCAGTCGTTGGGTCGGGTACCAGAAAACCCCACTCCCTATGGCCATTTCTTCCATCTAAGTAAAAGAGATACAATAAATGAGTGAAATGTACAGTGAAATGTTCACATCTGTACCTTGAATTCTTCTTCAAGTTTAATAACAAAACCCCAACTTTGGATGAAGAACAGAAAAATTTAACGCACCTATTTAAAGTCTCCCTCACAGAGAATTACATTTCTTCTGGATGACCTATCAAGGGGCTGGATTCATGAAGCCCACCTAAACTAAGACATATCCTAAGCATTGTTTATTAACAATAGTCTATTGTGGTTACGACAATAGACTATTGTTAATAAACAATGTTTAGGATTTGTCTTAGTTTAGGAGGGCTTCATGAATCCGGCCCCAGAATGTTAAACTTATTACCAATAACATTGTGACTTCATATCAAGCAGATGCACCCTTAGTATTTAGGGAACACTAGGTTTGTAGGTTGTACATGTAGGGTGCTTGAAATAAACAACAAATACATCTGGTAAAACAGCTGCCCTCAAATATACAATTGAACATTAAACTAGGAGTGCTTGTTATTTAAAGCATGCATGTACAGGCATGTGTACCTTGTGTTTTGATGCAATTACTGGAGAAATGACTCCAGCAAGTGGTTTGTTAGTGTCTTCACTATACTGATCTGAAAGAAATTAAACAAAACAGTCCTATAAGAATAGGTACCTGTACCAATGAATCAAAAACATACATACATTACACAACCCTCCATCATTTTCAATGATTGACAATCAAGTAAAAAAAAATAGTGAATAATAATTAAATTTTAAGTGTGCCAATTAACTGTTATTTTTGTAGGATAAAAAATGTTTCTAGTGGCAGTTATATACAAAACATGATAACAATAAACAGTAATTCTAACCATTCAATTTCTGCTCTAATTCCAAAACTTTCTGCTTCAGTGAGGCATTTTCTTGTCTCAAGAGACGGCATTCCTCTCGTCCACACTTGGAGAGGGCAGGCTGAGATCCTAAAAGAAACATATATTTGTAATTATAAGTACAAGTTTTATGTTTATATTCAGTGAAGGTAAACTTGATCTACACCTGCATACATGTGTGTTCATTCATTATATTCATAACAGCTACAGTCAAACCTGTATAAAGAAAACACTCTCAGGACCCTCACCAAGTCTATATGCCTATATGATGTTTGTTCTTTTGACACAACTCCAAGACCACATTGCATATCAGGTAGAGCAAGTGCAAAATGAATAAAACCATGACATATAACACAGACAATTAATGGACAGATTGCTAGATACCATGCATACTCACTTTGCTCTTGATCAGTTTCATAAAAAAGCTTCCTTGATCCCTTCTCTTTCCTTGATATTGGTACAACTTTAGAAGCACCTTGCAAAACAAAATACATGTATGCATGCATCTGAATAAAATTTACTTCATCATTGGGATCATTAACTTGAGTGTAGAGTACCTTAAGTGTAACTTGAATAAAATTTACTTCATCATGGTAATCTCTAGCTGTTGTTCTACTTCCTTTTAAATTATTGTTACAACTCCAAGACCACTTTGAATATCAAGTAGAATATATGCATGCAAAACAAATAAAATCATGAAACAACAATGGACAGACACTATAGATACTATACTCACTTTGTCCTTGAGCTCCATCTGTCAGATTCCTTGATCCCTTCTCCTTCCTTGATATTGGTACAACTTTAGAAGCACCTTGCAAAACAAAATACATGTATGCATGCATCTGAATAAAATTTACTTCATCATTGGGATCATTAACTTGAGTGTAGAGTCACCTTAAGTGTAACTTGAATAAAATTTACTTCATCATGGTAATCTCTAGCTGTTAATTGTTCTACTTCCTTTTAAATTATTGTTGCAACTCCAAGACCACTTTGAATATCAAGTAGAATATGCATGTAAAACAAATAACATCATGAAACAACAATGGACAGACACTATATAGATACTATACTCACTTTGTCCTTGAGCTCCATCTGTCAGATTCCTTGATCCCTTCTCTTTCCTTGATATTGGTGCAACTTTAGCATCACCTTTCAAAATATACATGTATGCATGCATCTGAATAAAATTTCATCATTGGGATAAAAGTGTAGAGTACCTTAAGTGTAACTTGGAAGGACCTTACAAGTGATAACTGCATGTACTAATCATTTTCACTTTTCTTGGTTGCTTTGAGTTATAATTAAGAAATAGCTAATTAGATCACATTAAAGCACATTATATGTTAAAAGAACACAAGAAGGGCTTGTCAATGATGAGTGCTTTGTTTGGTGAAGGTTGAGATTTTGGTGGCATATTTTCCTTAAACCATTCTGGTTCCTAATTCTCAGTAATATGGATAGTTTTGGATTTGCATGCAAATTTGGAACAGAAATCAGAAAAAAAAACATAAGGTTCATCTGTTCAGGTCAAGTAGTAGGAATGCTAACTACAGGTTTTTCAACAGCCCAAAACTTAGACATACCCTTCTGAAAAAGTTCCTTTAGCGGTGAGCGGTATGGCACAGTAACTTCCATTCCTACAAAATCATCATCAGCATGCATCTCTTCATCACCTGGGAAGTACTCATCCTCACTGCTGTTTAACGGCTCACTCTCAGAATCAACCATTATTAAGCTTCCAGAATATCCAAGGGATGAGCTATGTGACTGCTGGCTTGGAGATACTTTGGCCTGTTGAAGACTACATGCACGCTCGCTTTCAGAGTCACTCAGCTCTTCGAAACATTCATGGGAAGAGCTACTTATTTGGTTTTTAATTTGGAATGTCTTTGCCTGCTGAAGCCTCTGCTTTAGCAGGGCTTCCTTTGCTTGACTTTTGCCTTTGCGGCCTTTTTTTGGCCTTGGCCTCCATAGATAATTTCTTCCTTTTTTTTTCTTCACATTCGTCTTCACTTTTGTTTACTTCTGGATCGGATTCCGTCTTTCCTTTTTCTGTGCTAGACCAGACATTTGTTCTCTTCCTTTTTCCTTTCCCCCTTTGTCTACTTTGGCTTTTGTCTTAGTTGGCAATTTTTTTTTTTTGAGTTCTTCTCTGCTGGACATTTGTCAGATACTCTAGATCTGTAGGATAGCAGACATTTAAAAAGAAAACACTGAAGTCAGACAAATGGAAGAATATCATAGTTATGTCAGATGAATTCTTGGGAGGCTTGAAAAGATTGAGTGTCTTGTGTGGCAAACAGAAACAAGGGAAATGCCAATCATTGCAGGAATTGATTATGCAAATGTCTAGAAATAATATGTCAAATTACATTAATTCAGTGCAACTAAAAATTGACATTCCACTACATGGAAGCTCACTAAAAGAAATACTTGACCTGTTTTGACTGTCATGCAACAACTTTTTTTGCAAATTATACCCATCAGTGTTATGTATACTTTTCCAGCTTATAACACCAAATTAAAGGCAAATGAAATCAATGCCATGTTGTTATAATAATTATAATACAAATACAATGTACAGTGAACTATAAAATCCTACTTAGGAAGGCCCTTTGCTCCTTCCTCTCACCCTGGGATTTATCAGTTTGTGTTAATGCATGGCCAGGCCTTTATTTTGTGATGATTTAATTAGTCTTACCTCCAATGTCCACAACAAATGCAGGATACCAGTCCTTGTGATGGGCATCCGTCCACAGTGCATCACAAGATGCTCCTTTTTCAATTTTTTCACAGTTTCTAATCTCATCAGCACTGACTATATTTTTGATGTTGTCATCCTTGAAGACAACAAGGTAGTGGTCTACGATAAAGAACAAAATATAATAAGACACATCAACGATATTATAATCAATTAATGGCACCAGACAAACCAGTTTGTATGCTGCACACTAAATAATAAGAATGCAATCTTGAAGTTAACATATTGAAATTTCGCAAAGAATCTTGAAGTTGCTCTCAGCTTATATAGTGCATGGTCAAGAGCTTTGATCCTGAGCCAAATATCAAAGTTGATCGAAAAGAAACTGATCGTTGTTGTTTAAGAATAAACCAGTTACTAATCTATCCAGATCTATCAAAGATGGAATGTATAGCTAAAGAATGAATCATGCATTATTTATTACCTTGACAATGATAAATGAAAAATCGAGGGGTGATCCCAATTTCAAAAGTGCCATCTATACAATTAATCTATCAATCAATAACCAGGCTATGACCAGACTGTAAGCAGTCCCTCTTTTCTTTGCCGTCGATTATTAATTGAGCAAGTCGAAGATATCAACATCAGATAGAAACGAGAAAGAAGCGATTTTGACAGATTTGGCGAACAGTTACATTTGTAAATGAACGCGGCAATATTGAAATGAGTGGAACGAAAGCCTAATTAATGATGATCTTCGGAACGAATTAATCCTTGCACAATATCCGAAACAACTGATATCCTGGAAAATTCTTAGAAATTATTGAGCATGAATGAAAAGTTCGAAATATATATGAGATATGAGGTGAACATATAACGATAAAATTATGCACGTCTTATTCAACCTCTGAAGAGGTTGAAAGGACTGAGCTGTACGTTGCACGTGTTCTGTCCCCAGCATATATGCGACATTCTTCCCAGCATTTAAAACTACAAAATTGATTGCCAAGCTCCATCGTATAATGCAAAAGCCTAAATTTATTTTATTCAAGCAAAAGATTGCAGTGTATATTTACTAGAAAGAGTTTATATAGGTCGTAGAAGCGTGTTTTTTTAACCGCGTTCATTGAACCGCGAAACGCACGCCTGTAATTTAATTAATTCCTATATAAGCATGGGCCGAGCTCTCAAAATCATTGTTTTAGAACAATAATCTTAATTTAGGCACTTACAAGAATTACATTTGGAAGTAAAATGACTTACCAAGATGATCAGTGAAGCGAGAAGGTGCTTTTGTTTTCCTCATAATTGCAGAAATCTACAAGCTGACAAAACCGAACTCGATCCTCTTCAAAACGAACAACGAAAGGAACAACGAAATGAACAAATGAGCGCGAAAACGGCCTCTGTGAAGTTTTCGCGCTCATTTTGTGTAGTCACGTGTTAGGTGTAAGCCAATCAGCAGGGGATTTTGATATGTATTAGATGCCAGTCCACTCTACCTGCAGTCTTTCCTGAGTTGACCATGGAGTCGACGAAACGAAAGAAGAGAGGTCGATACAACTCGCATCGAAGAAACCCTGCTATACCTAAGCCGAAAGCCACTGTTTCCCGACATAACAGGCGAAAAGCAAACTTCTCATCGGATGAAGATGAACAAAGAAAAAAACCGTGTTTCAAGCGAACTGTTGATGTTGTTTTCGAAAATAGTCAAGCATCATCGGACGAATCGGATTTAAACATTACAAATATGTACTTGGCTTCATGTTCTAGTTATCAAGATCTAGACCACGAATTGTCAGACGTTTTGTCGGAATCAACGCATGATGACGACAGTGTAGAAAAAACTGGATGCGATTTGGAGTGATATCTCAGAAGACGATCGAAGCTCCACATCTTCAGATGACGACCAATTCTGTGCACGTGGAGACAGTTATAATCACATCAGGAGTAAATCGACTGATGAAGAAGACCCTGTATATGTATACCCTGGGTCGCCTCTTTTGTTGTCGGAAAGCATTCTTTTGATTCTTACTTTGGCTGTAGCTCACAATCTGAATGGAAGTTGTCTTTCAGACGTAATTTCTTTGATCAATTTGCACTGCATTCCTGGTCCACTCAACAAGTGTGTCAACTCACTCAGTGAGCTCAAGAGGTACTTTGCTGACTTCGAGCTTCCCATAACAAAACACTTTTACTGCAGTTTTTGCTCTGAGTATCTTGGTGTTTTAAGTGATACTCCTGATGTGTGCTCCATTTGCAACAATGATGTGAGAGATCCAAAGAAGAAGTCATATTTTGTCATCCTTTCTGTCGAAAGTCAGCTAAACGAGCTTATGCAAAGTAAGTAAGAAAATATAATTTTATATGTTGCAGTTTAAAATGATCTTATGTTAAAATGATTTCAAACTAGTTTGATTTGTACTTTTCTTTGTCTTAGGATTATGGTAATCAATCTGGAACAAAAGAAAATCAAAACTAACCAAGTTTGAAATCATTTTGACCTAAGATTCATTTCAAACTACAACATATACAACAGTGATTGATGTTAAAATGGAATAAATATAAATACTGGCTTAACTACAGCATCATATATTTAGCCACTTTCGATGCTTCCTGGGATAATAGCTAGATATATATATCGCTTAAAATATGCAGTCACCCCTATTGAAGTATAATATTTCCAAATATTTGGTCCTATAATGGGCCAGTAAGATCCATGTGACAAAAAGTTTCAAAGTCTCTGAAAGTTAAGCCTAAAATGATGATTTAGTTTTTAAATGTATATGTAAAAAAAATATTATTGGAGTCGGTTTTCACATGATAGCAAAATTATCAAGGTCTCGATTTGTGTTACCCACCTTGGCTGTGGAAATTCTTACTATCTTACTCACCATATGTATTTGAATAAGTGCCCTGTGCGCTTCTTTAATGTTAGGTCCTTTAAGGTCGATGTTTATTCAAGGTGGGCACTTATTCTGATAAATGCAGAAACCTCATCCTGTGGCAATTGAGCTACATCAAATTAATAGCTATAATCTGCTGGTGGTGTCGACTGACACTCAAATCACAGTATTTTGTGATAAAAGAGTGCAGTGATGTTTTATCATTCAACCAGTAAGCTTGATTTTCTTTGTTGTATTTTTTTGTCATCTGATATTAGGAAGAGAATTTCAGGAAGATATAAAGTACCGCTTTCTGCGAGAGAAGACATCCCCTCACAACATTGAGGATGTATATGATGGCCATCTCTACAAGAAGCTGTTTGAAAATAATGGCCCACTTTCTCAGCCAGAGAACTTATCCTTAAAGTTCAATACAGATGGTGTTTCTATCTTCAAATCATCAGGTTCAAGTATTTGGCCAGTGTACTTTGAGATCAATGAGTTGCCACCAAGTAAAAGGTAAAAATTAGAGTAAATTATTATTGGTGAATTGTAAGTGCATCTTATTAAACTTTTGGAATTATCATTGTATTCTCTATTCACAATACTATTTCCGAAAACATTGCAAAAAATTAGTTGCCTTGTTGATGACTGGAATGACACATACTGTACATATACTTAGTTGAACTGAATTACATTGGTTATTTAACAACATTTTTCACTACTATTTTCTGTGATTGTGCCAAACCATTATTTTCATCAAAGGATATTATTATAGAGTTCCGTATCAGACCCTTTTTATTTAAAACTAACTTTCATTACTCTTACCCTATTGTTCCTTTTTCTAGGCTGGAAAAAAAAAAAGCTGACTCTGATAAATGTAAATTCGTAAGTGCATTTTAATGTTTTCATGTTTTAATTAATAGGAAACGATTGGAGAACATGCTTTTGGGTGGCCTCTGGTTCAGTGACAAAAAAACCTGTGATGTCTACCTTTTGAAACCTTTCAGAACTTCATTAGAAGACCTTGAAACAAAAGGTACCTGGATACATGGTGTCTCTGAGACAGCTTTATGTTCATGTCTATGTTGTGGCTAACTAAATTTTTTTATGGTTTAAAGTTTGTTTGGCAAGGTTGATTTTTATTTTCCCTGTTTTAAAATGTAGTTATAAATATAAGACAAAGGAAAGTATAGTTTTAAAACTAAAAACAAGTTTCAGCCACAACATATATACACTGTACATGTACTTATATTTAGAGTGTATATAAAATTTTGTATAAAGTTTTCAAGCAAACTGTACTAGGAATAAATGTACGTGATTTCTCCTGGCCAACTTGTATGGTAGTGTATTATACTGACTAGATGCATAATTAA